TGGTGACTCTTCTCCACGTCCCAGCCCCGCGTTCGCTTCCCAACCCTTCTCCGTCGCGGCCCCGCGTTCGCTTCCCGACCCTTCTCCGCGTCCCGGCCCCGCGTTCCCTTCCCGACCCTTCTCCGCGTCCCGGCCCCGCGTTCCCTTCCCGACCCTTCTCCACGTCCCAGCCCCACATTTCCTTCCTTAGCACCAAGTCATGAGCCTAAAAGTGAGTGTGTTATTGCATGTAGTTTTCTTAGAAGAAAGAAGGGGTTTGTCCTGCATGTTTTGGGGCCGTCATCACCAGGTCAGTGAGAAAGAATTGAGGAAAACCCAGGAAAGTTCACTGCACAAGGGGCCTCTTGTTTGAGCAATGGGCTGAGGGCATGGGCGGGCTAGCTGAGGTGACAGCTCCCATCTTAACGGTGGCTTGGGAGAGTGTCTCCACCACCCCAACAACAAGGCAGCATACAGTTACACAAGGCCAGCCTCTTGCTCCATGGCACTCTTGCCTCTTTCGCCCCAGGACCTTGTAGAGTCTGCATACTGAGGCTGGCATCTGAGGTGTGCTCTCACGCATGCTGCCCCAGTTGGCAGGGCTGGCAGGCCCTCCAACATGTAGGGACTGGCTGAGGGGTGGCTGAGTGACACCAAAGCCTCTATCCTAATTTCATCCATGGGGAGGACTTCCTGAGATAAGTGCAACTGATGTGTGAATGACTTTGACCTGTATAGCCGAGGAGACTGGCTTGCCCTCTTCTGGGTGGGGGCTCTGAAGTCACGGGCCTCATAAAGCTGCAGCCCCTCATGGGGCCCAGAGACCCCACTGTCCAAGGTGTCAGTGACCACTCCAGGCTGGTGATTAAGGAACAGATCACCTTGTCCTCCTCCCCTTCCACCATTTCTGTCTCTTGTTATTTTATTAAAGGTACCACAGCAATGGTATTAAACGCAAGAAACTCGGTGTCTCAGGGATCACATGAGATGCAGAGTCTTACCTGTCAGGGATGGGGAAGAGAAATGAGGTCTGGAATTCCACTTCAGGGTGGATGTGTCTTGTTAGATGTATCTGGAAGAGGAACTAGGCCATTCTGCTTTTGTGGTTTACTCTTCCTGTCTCCTGTAAAGAAATTCACTAGTTCATTTAACAAGGGCCCTTTGCCTTAATCTGGGGTGTTGCCCCGTGCAAACAGTAGGTGATGAGGGCTTCCTATTATGAACTGTGGAGAAGAAGATGAAGCACAACACTCCTTTTCCCCAGAAGCAGCTTCTAGGAAAGGGTCTGGGCGTTCACACACAGCAAAGCGAGTGAAGTGTTCTGTCCCATCAGGCAGCATGCCGCTCTCTTCCTGCCTTTGCAACAGCTCTGGGCAGGCCCCATGCTGCCTAGCTGCACCGTCCAACGTTATTTCCCTTGCAGGAAGTCATAAATACTCTCTGTCCATGGCTGTGGGAGGTACCCACCGGTGGGAAACTCAGCTTAACCATAGACGGTCATGTGCAGGGGGCAAGGAGCAAGGAGCTGGAAGCCAGGCCTGGAGGCAATGGGCACTCTTTCTTGGTCCGTGGTCCTTGAGGTTGGAAAATGACATCATCACCTAAGATGGGCAACTAGGATAACTGGATGGGTGCTGAGAAAGTATGAGCTCAGGAAAGCAGAGCCCAAACAGTGCATGTATCACCCTAGGAAGGAGGGCCAGAGTGTTGCTTCACACAGGTCTGGGTTTGGAAGCCCCTTCACCACTCACCATCTGTATGTCTTTGCCCAAGTTGTTGTTTAGGGGCTTAAGTTTCCTCATCAGTAACCAAGGTGGTGTCAGAGTAAATAAAACAACGTTCTGAAGATGGCGTAGCCCAGTGTCTGGTGTATAGGGAGTGTGAAATGCGTGGGAGCAGCTGGTGGTGCCATCCACAGAATCAAGTGCCCAGACAGCCTGAGTTAGAAGTCAGGGAGGGTGCCACTTGCCACTTGTCAGGTGCCAGAGGAGACAGGTGTTTGTTCAGACTTTGTTTTTTCTATGTGTGAGTTCCTGGCTCATTAGAATTCTAAGGTCACCTAAGTGAGGCCTCTCTTGGACTCCTTTCAGGAAAGGGTAGTTGCTCCCTGAGAGTGTCACTGCGGTATGGCCACATCAACGGTGCCTCTCGCGGGGCTCCTGGACCACACCTACCAGAAGGGCCCGCTGTGGGACTCTTGAGCGGGAAGCTGTAGTAGGGGACGGGGAGTGGAGCTGGGGAAATGTCACCGTGGACACCACACTGCAGAGTGGGGTGAAGCCATCTGGGGATGACTGTGGCAGCGGAGCTGGAGGACTGAGGCCATGACTTGATCATCTGGGTAGGAGAAGAGGGCCTTAATTAAAGAGCAGTGACACTGCACAGGCTGGACTGGCTTCTGGAGCTAATTGGCAAGTGTTCACAGCCAGCTGGAAGTGGAAAGAAGGTGACTTCTAGGTACCATCAATCACTGAAAAGGGAGTAAGAGAGGAGGGGTAGGATTGGGAGGTTGCGGGGGAGACTTGAAACTACAAAAACAACAGTCTTGAGGTGTGCTGAATTTGAGGTGTTGTGGGACAGGGATGTCAAGCAAAGGGGCTGCCATTGGTAAGGCCTAACTGTACCTCAGACACTGTTCTAAGTACCTTACACGTATCGTTTTATTTAATTCTATAACAGTCCTAAAAAATAGGTGCCATTATTCCCATTTTAAGATGAAAAAGATGAGTGTGGCCTAATGAGATTCAGTAACTTGCCCAACATTATACAGCTAGGAAGGGGAAGGGTCAGAATTTGCTCTTATTGTCCAGCCTACACTGCTGCTCTGTGACATTAGGAAACTTAGGGCAGATCTGAGCTGTAGCCACAGGCAGGGAGTCATCTGAAGCCACACCTATTTGTCCTTTGGGTTAATAATCAGGTTGTAGTCACCACAGGAGGGGAAGCTCTCAAATCTGCGCTGTAGGGGCAACATGCTGTGTCTTTGGAATCACTGGCCAAGGCCCACAAGCCCCTCCAGGGTGCATTGCCGAGGGGCAGGGGAAGGGCAGAAAGATGTCAGATAATCTGATTGACACAGCTTCAGGGTGAGGCCCCACAAAAGCACGTGGGAGGGTGGGTCCCAGTGCCAACCAGCTCTCCGGGAGGCCACCCATGGCAGGGAGGGCTGGTAGGCTGGCACTGCAGACTTACAGGTGACCTGAAGGAGAAGTGAAATAATGCACTTTACTACTTTGTTACGCTTTGCTAAGGACTAAGTTTAGTGCTTTAAAAATTCTGATATCTGGGTGGCACCTATGGCTCAAGGGAGTAGGGCAGTGGCCCCATATGCCAGAGGTGGCAGGTTCAGGCCCAGCCCCGGCCCAAAACTGCAAAAAAAAAAAAAAAAAAAAAACTTATGCCCTTAAATCATGGATGTTCTGATCTCAAGGATGTTAGAGAACATCTAACTTCATGCCTTTCTTCTGACCAGAGAGAACACTGAGGCCCAGAGAAACTAAGTGACATGGCTCAACTTGCCCAGTTGGGTGTAGCAGCAGAGCTGCCACTTGTGTCACTGGATGGTGTAAACAGACGTGAGGATGGACACCCCAGGCTGCTGCTTCCTACCAAGAATGCGTGGCCATAACCTTTGTTTCCTTGGGAAAGGGCTGTCTCATAGCAGGAAGAGGCCAGTTTCCTACCCTCTTGACAGGTAGAGCCTGGGGATCTATCAAAGCTCTTTCTTCTCATCTTTTTACTGCCCTAAAACATTGCGGTCAAGGTCTGGATATGAAACTTCCCAAAAGTCAGAGCGATCTGGAAGGGGAGGAGAGGGAGACACTCTTGGACTAGAAATTAAAATCCTTTTGGTAAACCTCTTGCCCCTGCTGTGACAGCCACTGCTGCTCTGGGGACAGACACTGTGATGCAAAACGCTGCAGAAGGCCGCTCCAGGAGGCTGAGGGCTGCTGCCATTCCTCTGCAAAGAAATCCACAGTGCAGGAGGCACTCAGAGACTCTAGGGAAAGGAAAAAGGCTCCCTTTATTTTCTCTGACCCTTCCCACACTCAGGCCTCATCCAGATCTACTGAGTCAGCACTTTAACAAGATCCCCAGGTGATTCCCATGCCAGGTACAATTGGAGCAGCCCTGGGCTAGGTTCTGCTTTCCCAGAGCCTTCCTACATTGCTGGACCAAGGATATGTTACCCAGCAAACTCACCCATCTAAAATGTAGACAGCAAGCAATGAAGTCCCTCTGGTTCCCCCAGACCCCCGAAGAGATAGATACAATAAGCTCTTTGCTTTATAGGACACAGGCTTCTCAAGAAAGGAGATAAAGTATTTAAAAAGCAAAGTACTGGCTTGGTGCCTGTAGCTTAGCACTAGGGCGCCAGCCACATACAACAGAGCTGGCAGTTTCGAACCCAGCCCAGGCCTGCCAAAAACAATGACAACTACAACCAAAAGATGGCTGGGCATTGTGGTGGGCACCTGTAGTCTTAGCTACTTGGGAGGCTGTGGCAAGAGAATTGCTTAAGCCCAAGAATTGGAGGTTTCTGTGAGCCGTGACACCACGGTACTCTACTGAGGGTGACACAGTGAGACTTCGTCTCAAAAAAAGCAAAGTACCTTTTGCTTAGTGGCCGCAACACCCCAAAGAGCCCCAAGGCATTGCTGCTATAAGGCTGTCTGATATGATACTACTGAGATGGCCCTAGTGATTTGACAGAATTTATATTCATCATTCCCGGATTCTTAAAGGGCAGTTGGGCAATACATTGTAGATATGCTTACAACAGTGTTAAGGAAAAAAGTCCTGGTATAGAAAGGTCTTCTAGAAAGTTAATTTCTATGCAACAACATGTATTTCTGTTACCAGCCGGATACCTGAGGCACTGCTGTGTCCCCACTGACTCGTATGACCCATTTGCTGATGGGCTGACCTATCTCTTTTCCCCAGGCCCCCTTCTCCAGCCCAACAAAGTATTTTCAGATGGATAAAACACACAGGAGTCAAAGATTTTTTTAGACTTTTTTTTTTTTTTGGTTTGTTTTTAAAGAAACTGCATACATCATCAGAGACAAACAATAATTTAAATACCATGCAGTTTCTGTATGTACAAAACCTAGGCCACAGAGATCCAGTTTCATCTGTATTCTCTATTTACACTGTCTTCCTCATACAGCCGTCATCTGTTAAGTTAGAACCTGGGAGAGCAGGGGATAGACAGTCACCACACTCACTCCTATACAGAGACAAACTATGTACAGACACCCGGGAAGCGACTGGAAAATGCAACCGGTCTGGGGATTAACAGACAAATGGGGAGAAAAAGTCATTTAAGGTGACCTTGGCCCACTGGCTATGCACAGGGAGAGCCGGAAATTCCATTCATTGAAGGAACACACCACAATTTTCATTTGGCAAATATACATACATGTTCGTAAGCAGGAGAAAAATAAACTCGGAGCTTGTCATCACATTTACCGTCACGTTGTTTGGTTTCTCTAATCTGACATAAAGGCTAAAGTTTTAAAAGTTTTACAGGCCTTTGAGGGCCCGTCAGAGATGAATGTATCAGCATTTTGAAAAAGCAAGTAGGCCGCTGGCCATCTCTTTCATCCGTGATAAGGACAGGGTACAGGATTGGGGAGGTGTCTAATTTTGAGAGGGAAACACTTGATTTGAGACATTTCACATTTTTCTTCTCACTGTAATGCAAAGGACAAAATGCTCAACTGAGAATTTATACACACAAAATAAACTGACTTAAAAACTGCGGCTTTTCCAGAAAAGGGATGCATTGTAAGCTCACTTTTTTTTCTCCCCTAATTAATGTCATATTGTCATCTTGGAAAGTATCACAAATTGCTTCGGCTGTCATAATGATGTGGCAAAAAAGAAAAATGTGGATAAATCTCTAGAAAGACCTAAAGGTTTTAAGAAAGGAGAAAGACAACAGAGGCCCCTCCAACAGGCCACTGAGGTTGCCGAGCCTGGGTAAAGCCACTGAACATGGGCTTGAAGTAGCCCATCCCAAAGCTGAGAGACTTTTAGCGGCATGGGAGATGCCCCTCTCACTCGGAGCAAATGACTTCTGGAAAAGGGTGCCCTGCAGGAAGAGCAATGGACATCGTGTTCAATTTCTTCCATGCACAAGTGGATTGCGACACTGGTGCACGCTGGGCAGAAACCCTGGGCTGCTGGCTGGCTGGGGTGGGATACCATTTGTGCCTCTATTCCTAGGGCATATGAAGGGCTCAAGAACCCTTCTCAAGGCCAGCAGAGAAGCTATGGGACTTCATGGGAGGAGTCCAGTCAACAGAATGAGTTCCCTTAGGACTCACTCCTGGCCAGGGGGATGCTAGGGCATCGAGTGTGCCTGAAGCCCACCCAGTTAGAGGAAGCGCAGACTCCTAGTCTGGCTTGGCGGGCACCTCTGCCAGAACACGTGCCAGCCCATCAGCCGTAGAGAAATTCGACGAAAGAGCCTTCCATCTTTCGTCATACCATTTGCACATTCAAACGTCAGTAAGCCTTTTGGGAAGACTGTGTTTATAGCCACACTAAAACCCCAACCATATTTTCCCTGAACAATTCCTCTCCCCCAGCAGCAACTATTCTGATTCCACAAAGAAAGAAAAGATCTAGGAAGGCGTCCTCCTTGGACTGGGCGGAGGCGCACTGGCTCCAGGTGGCAAGAGGGAGCTGCAGCTGAATGCGCTGCCCAAAGAGCTCCCCTTGGTCTCACCAGCAGCTGTCTGGCCCCTGGGTTAGTGCTGGCCATGGGTGCCATTAAGGCCTGTGAAAAATCCCATGGCTTCATGGATGGACATGCATCCTGAGAGTGACTTGCTCCCAAGTGGCTCATGGTGGAGATGGGTTAACTCTTTTGGGGAAGGCCAGGATGGCATCTTTGTAAATTCTGGCTATGTGTGGTGGGGAGAGAGCCATCCCCTAGAAAGGCTGGGCTGGCTGTGGAGCCTATCGGAGGCTCAGCAGGGCTCTGTGACTTTGGGCCTGCCAGCGCTGTTGGGGGAAATAAAAGTTGCAGTGGGCCTTGTGGGGATGCTGGGTAGGGTTTAGGGTTTGCACATCCTGCCCTTGGTGTCCTTGTTGACAAGGAGTAGGACAGTTGGAGACACATCTCCAATCACCCTCACCAGCATTGTGAGAAAGAGGAAGGATTCCCTCTGGATGAACTGGAGCAGAGAGGTACATCTGGGGCAGGCATGTGCTGGGCCAATTTTGGCCCATGCTGAACTCTGGGCTCTTCCATAGAAACTCTTGGGTGCAAAGAAGAGAGAATAGAAGGCCATCAAGTGGTTCTGGAATTCTAGTCCCTCAGGGGCTGGGAAGCTAGACTTATAGGAATAGTTTCTGGCCTGCATGCATTGGTCTTATATTCAGAGACCATCAATTCCCAAGCCACACAATCACTGGGACGGTGCACACAGAAAACGTGAAGAACATCAGCTAAGCAGTTACTGACCCCAGCCTTTCTGCCCTTAACAGGGCCCTCCTGCTCAGACTTAGAAACACCAAGGGAGTACCTGAGCAATGGCTGTTTGTGTGCACCAGTCACCCATGACATTGACTCTCTGAACAGAGATGGGTCAATGAATTTGAACTTGATAAGATGATATCCTTCCCCTTCTAAACCAGATCTTGCTTCCTGGAAAGCAGCTCAGCTCAGCCTGGGAGGACAGTATGGGCACTCAGTGCCAGCCTTCCCCACCTATAGCACACATGCTCCAAGACCAACAGGCACCCAGACCCTCCACCCCCCCATTAGAAAAGGGCTCTTCCCTTTGCCCACTGAGTGGATGCTGGCAGAAGGGAGGGAGGGCCAAGAGCAGCTGAGAAAGACCCCTTTCCTCATGGTACCACTCTCTGCTGGGGCCCCCAAACCAGATGCTACATCTGGAGCCAGTACACTGGGCCAAGTCTAGAAAGCCAACCAGATCGAGCTTTCTTTGCACAGTACCCCCTCCCAGGGGAAACCCACCCCCTCTGCTTTCTTTGGACTCAGGTGCTAGACACTTGTGAGGAAGAGGTTCTCGGTGCCTGCTGGGCCTGGCCAAAGAGGACGAGGACCACTCCACTGGCTGGGAAGTCTTCAGTCAGGGCCCTGCTGCAGGAGCCCTGGGCCCTGCCAGGGGTGGGACACATTTCGGTGTCAGAAGTGGGGCCAGCAGCTCTGATCGCTGAGCGGTCATCTTTGTGTTTTCACACATAGAATCTTGATTGTGTTTCCTTATATTTTTCTTCCTCTTCTTTTAAAAAAAGGCAGTTCAGAAGATTTACATCATAATGGGGAAGTGAATAAATACCAGCACTTATGGTTCTTATAAATTTATGTTTTGAAGACAGCATAGCACTCAAGAGGAATTCAATTGTTAAGGTCGGTGAAACCTAGGGAAACAAGTAATTAAATCAAGACTGAGGGGCTGGCAAAGGTATGGATGGGGCGATCCAATCCTGTCATCCCCAGGGTCCTGTTCCTGACCCCCACCCCCCAAAGGCACATCCCCACAGTAGCTCCCCCAAATCCACCTCTGTTTTTGGCACAGTTTCATCTGGAGATCCTAGGGCTCAAACCAGGTGGTCCTGGTGGCCTCCAGCATGTGCCATCAACCTGGATTCAGCAGCCAGGGGCAGAACCCAGTCTGGTATCTCTGAATCCAGGCTCTGCATACCCAGTAAGCCCTGTTTCTCTAACAGCTCACCAAAGGAGAAAGTCCTGAGAATTAAGTCAATGGCTTTGTCGCTAACTAGCCATGGGACCTTATACCAGTCCTTTCATCTTTCTGTGCCTCCAGTTTCCCCAAATATCATTACACAAGACCATTAGGGAGAATGGCACAGAATAACCGAAGTGTGCCCATGGAATTTGGGAAGTTCCATGTGGATTTGGTATTGTGCCCAGGTTTGGTCTCTGCTGACTGGTTGGAACTTGGTAACAATCTTCTCTCCTTGGGTTAAGCTTTCATAAAAGCCCACATTGGGGTTGTTGTTACTGTGGCCCTTTTCAGATCTTTTGTTTCAATGAATTGGAAACCAGGCTTGCCTACGGCAGCTCTGAGTCTGGGCTGTCAGCGCTCTTTGTGGCCATTTGTCACTTCAGATTACAGATTCACTTCCGTAACCTGAAGTGGGACGTTGTGTTGACCTGTCTTTTGCCTTCTCCCCCATGGTACCCACCAAACCACCTGTGACCCACAGCACACAGGGTAAGTTTGGTTGGAGATAAATATTGTAATTTGAGGAGAGGGAAAGGAAAAAAACCTCTGATACTGACCTTGTTAAGTGTCTACTCAATTCATGAACTTCCATTTCAGTGCTTTTAAATTCGTTGAGCTCTTTTCGGATGGCAGCCTGGAATAAAGAGCACCCCGTAAAGATGCACAAGGGAAGGACAGAAAGCAGCTCGCTTTTTGTTTCATTTCTAACAGTATGTTTTTTTTTTCTTCAACAAAACCAAACAAATTTAAAACAGATTCTTTCATTGGAGGAAGAAAAAAAAAATCACCGTGCTGTGTGTGTGTGAACTAAGATTCCCTAGTCCCTAAATCTAAATTCCAAATGATGAGAGGATCTTGCCCAAAGTGTCTTTTTCTTGCTCTTTCCAGAGCTGCTCCATGGGGCATCCCAGCAGGTGCACACCCACCCCCCCATGCCTGGGGACTTGCCCAGCACACCTTCACACGTCAGCCTCTCACCTTTCTCAGGGACACAGGCTAAGCTCAGCAGAAGCATGGATACTTCTAGAAAGGGTGGATCAAATTCCACAACCAAACTAAAGGGACAACAGCCAGCTCCACCGCCTTCCTCTTTGCCTTTGTTCTTTTACAACCTCACTGACTTTCACGGGGTATTTCACCATCTGGGATGTGTTTTGAATAACCTCACATATTCTGAGATCCATCCTTACAACAGGGCCTACAGATGTGCCTGTGCCGAGGGGAGGGGCAGGTCAGGGTAATTGGACAGCAAAGAGAGGGGGTGAGGACAGGATGGGTGGGATGGGGAGGAGGAGGGCCCTGCAGAGAGGAAAGCCAGGGCTAGAGACTGCCTCACTCCCTCCTTCCTGGGGACAGAAACTGCCAGGACACGCCCTTTTGCAAGGCTCTATCAGTGGAGATTTACTTTGCTGGGAAAATAAAGGCTCCAGGAGTTTAAGGATAGAAAAGTGTTCAGGTAGGATCAGAGTGGCTCTCCCCAGAAAAGGAAGGCCCCCTAGAGTTTAAGTGCCTGGTTATCTGCCTTGGAGCTGCAGGGTACCACTTCCTGTTCTCCTGTCCCCAACAGCTACCAAGGAGATGGATATGTTTTCCACCTAAGAGCCACATAGAACTTTAACATGCAAGCAGAGACATCCTGTACTTTCCTTGTGCACCTGTTATCACCCTCATCCTTGCAAGCACACTGCAATGAGAGTGTGAACAGAAGAGAACGTGAGCCCAGGCCTCTTGCTCTCTTTATGTTTTGAAGACACATTTCCAGGAGGCTGGGTCTGCCTGCCTTGTGCATGGCGGTGCCAGGTCCCAGAGTTGCTCTCCACGAATTCCTATACAGGAAAGCTATGCATTCCGTGTTGACAGAGGAGGGCACAGACTTCTGCATGTCGTGAGCTGTGAACTGACCCATCAGAGAAGGGGCCATTTCTGGGAGACGTCTACCTGCCTCTGCACGTCAGCCCACCCAAGTACGGCAGCATCCCTGCATGCTTGCTTCCTACAATTCTTTGATCCAGGCTAGGTGATAATTCAGCCAGTGTGGGCTGCAGATGACTTCCTGCCACGTCATGTACAAAGATACCACTGGCTCCCAAAATGGACTGGGTGAAGGCAGGACCCTTTAGGAGGAGCTCCTGGTGCACCCTGGTCCTATTGTCATGCATGCATTGGACACGATCATTATTCTAGTCTGGACTTGCATAAAGGCCCTGAGCCCTCCAATTTCTCATGGTGACCGGACAAAGCTCCATTCTGATACATGGTCTCATAGATAAGGATGACTTCTCATTTGCATCATGGCATTTCTTAGAAAACAAACTCCAGGTCAGATTATTATTCTGCTTTCTAAATTGATGAGGCTCTGGTGCAGTGAGACAGTTATGTGATGTCTCTGGATTTGTGCCCTTTTCTCCTATTAGATTACAAGAAAGGCCAACACAGTTACTTTGTCTTCTTTGGATTCCATGAATCCCCTGCTGGGTGCCAAGGACAGTGTGCCCTACACGAAGGCACAAGTGATAAGCGTGGCGCCCTCCAACTGTGTGTGGCTATTCTGGTGCCACTCTGTTCCCTGGGCACAGCCTCCACGGCTGCTCATCTTCCTTCCAGGAACAGGATGACCCGCCCTGTGCCTTCTCGGGTTCAGTGGCCTCTCTGCGTACTGCTGGACTCTATCACAGGGACTGAATTCTGAGGATTTGCTGCTGGTCACCTGGCAAGCGCCCCAGTGGCAGGCCACACGAGGAACCCAGGGGGGCAGGCTCCCCTCCCCCCGACACTTACTTTGTCAGCAGCGGTTAGGCGGGTCCAGGGCTTGTCAGCCCTGCGGTCGTAGTCCTGAGCGTCAGCCACCTCCACGTAGTCACTGAAGCGAATGAGGATCTTCCTTTCCCGAAGTTCTTCCACCGTGGGCCTCTGACTGAGCTGCAGGGAGGGAGAGAGATAGACCCAGTCAGCCAGAGGGGTCTCAATCACTCAATTCTGTCAGTGATTTGTGGGTGTGGATGATAAGGTCCAGAGAAGGGCCTGATGCATCACACACCATGTGAGGGGCAGGGCCCGAGGGGGACCCAGGGCTTCTGACTCCTGGAACTGGGACCTTTCCAGGACTCTAAGAGAGAGCTTGGTCCCCCCCCCCCCGGCAACCAGGCCTATGCAGATGGATGGCCAGGCTCCTCCTTCACAGCATGGCTGTGTCTCAGTCTTTACCAGAAGCTTCTCTTTCTGTGGGGCTGGAGGTGCCTGCTGTGGATTTTTCCCTGTCTGTCCTGTTCCTACCAGGTGATGGGAATGTTGTAGGATGATTTTGTTTGATTCTATGCCTGTGTGCCACATTTCATGCTCTCTGCATGATGGGTTTGTAACAAATTTTTTTGTGTGTTTTAGACCCAAAAAAGTACATGTACAAACAGCAGGCAGATACTAGGGTATGCAGGGATGGGATTGTATGATTTATGAGGTCAGGGTGAATGCTGCTGATGGCTCCTTAAGAAGTTCAAGGGAAAGGTCAGTCAACAAACACAGAGCTGAGTAAGGACAGACCAAGGCCATATGTCTGCCAAGGAAGACTCAGAATCAGCCCTTTGGATGGCTCTGTGGTCAAGGATTGCAGGAATGGGGGGCAAAACAAGCTGGGGGGGGGTCCATACTTATTTTTCCATCTCCTGATACTACCCAGGAGCACCCTGCCTTGGTGCTTTAATAACATAAGCCTGGCACTTCTATTATCTCTCCCTGTCACCAGGTTTATTTCTCCTGGAGCAACACACTTGCTCTCTTTAGGATGCTGTCAATTCATGTTCAACCAATGTTATTTAAAAGCAATTTTCCCTCTGAGCCCTAGCCTAGGTTTAATTTTATTAACAGAAGGTATAGTCAGAATCTTACCATCCAGGCCTATAAAACAAACACACAAGTGAGTCTGAAACCCCCTGCAGGGTGGCTAGAATGTCTCAACTTGCTATCATACTGGCAGAGCATAATTAGATGACTGTTGGGTAGGATCAGAGTGGTCACGGGTATTGTTAGGGCAGCCCTGGACAGGCCAAGGCAGGCCTGCAGCTCCCTCTTGGCCAAGGGTTGGGAAGATCCGGGGATCAGAAGCTTGGAGGGCTATAGTACCTAGACCACATGTAGCTCCCCTTTTACATGGTTCCAGTCTATTCTGAAGCAGCCTTGGTTTTTCCAGAGCAGGACACTGTGGCATTACCACAAGCCTAGTGCAGGAAACCACAGGGTTCCAAGGCTGTGTAGTTGGGGTTGTTGCAAACAAAAATGGTGGTCATCCTGACTCCAAAGCGTGTTCTCCAAAATGTGAGGGCAGGGAGATTTTGTACTATGATTAAAATACACAAACACTTAATGTTCACCATATTTGCACCAGAGGAACAGATTCCCACACTCCTCTCCAGCTTGTATTCCTCAGGACTAGCAGGGTTTACCTCTCAGTACTGAACAGACAGTATTACTTTCACTATGGTGTCCAGGAAGGTTGTTACGCTCTGACTTTCAAAGTTCTTTTCCTAGAAATCATGAACTGGATTTTACTAATAGCCTGTCTATGGCAGTGTCTGGAGTGAACAGAAAACTAAACGTAAGCTCTGCCGGTCAGGGACTGTTTTGCATGCCTGATCCCTGGTGGGGTCTCTAAATCAAGAAGGAACTGTGCCCGAGTGCTCAGAGGAATGAGTAAGGACAGAACAGGCTGCTGCCTCTGTGATCCGGAGCCTGTCCCCATGACCACATGGGGCTCAGATGTCCCTGTGGCCTGGGGCCGGCTGTAGCCCTGAGGGCGCCCAGAACCTGAGGTCCCTCTTGGATGCTACAAAACTAATCTTTGTGGCCCAAATCCATTTCTCAAGTTGATGGGCTAGAAGGTGGGGTGGCAGCATTTGTATCAGTCCATGACAGCAAAATCATGTGTAAACAAATACTCAAGAAAAAGAGTAAATTCATCAAGACCCAAATTCTATTAATATAACCTGAGCCCAAGTAGATTTCATTCCTTCTTTCTTCCTTTCTTCCCACCCACGTATCCATCCATCCATCCATCCATCCTTTAGCTTACTAGCATTTTTTTTTCCAGAGGGGGAGGCAGACATGTTTTTCAAAGACGAAGCATAGAATTTTTAGATTGTCTCCATTTGGCTGAAGAAAATAACTGGTGTGTTGCTATCAGCCCCAGCTATTATATTTTTCATTGTTCTCACTTGTGCATTAAAATTAAATAGAACTTTATTGAGGAAATCCTTGGGTTGAGGGTAAGTAACTGAAAAGCAGCCGCCGTCCCTGGCGTCTGGTCTTGGTGTGATAAAGGCTCCAGAAGAAAATACCTTGCTCAGGGCCGGGAAGTGATGTGGATTTCCTACCTGCCACAGGCGCAGCATCTCTGCCAACAGAACACACGCTCTTGTTCTGTTGCCCCCTTAAATGCAGGTATCTGCTGCTCAAGCTCACTATTTCTAATTCCCCAAGCCAGTCCCGGGAGACAGCAAATGCTAAAATTCCCAGGCCATTTCCCTGGGAGATGGAAGGAGAGGTGCCAAGGGAAAAGAGGCAATTAGCTTATCTTGTGGACCTGCAAAAATTAGGGGTAACTCTCTGTAGTGTTACCCACCTAGGGAGAACGGCGTGGGAACAAATTATGCCAAATTACACAATCGGTCAAGATTTTCTGCGTGAAATCATATGAACCTTTTTAAGAAATGAGAATTAAATAAAGTCCACATATTTTTATGACTATCTTTTAGCAAGCCATCTTAAATTAAAATTCTGGAGAATTTCGGGGTCCAAGGAAACAGTTCTAAAGAACTTGATGAAAATCTGATTTAAATATTTTTCTGAACGTCTGGACCTCTCTATATCAGAAATGAGGGGTTATTACCAGACTCTTCTTTTTTCCTAATTAAAAAAATTCTTTTATAGACAGAGTCTTAGCTATGTTACCCAAGCTGGGCAGTGCTGGCATCACAGCTCACAGCAACCTCAAACTCCTGGGCTCAAGTGCTCCTCCTACCTTAGCCTGCTGAGTACCTGGGACTACTAGCGTGCACCCCATGCCCAACACCAGTGTCTTTTTCATATCCCGGTCACTTCAAGGTCACAAGTAGAACAAACAAATGCACCTCCCTTGGCCCTCTCACTACTCTGTCTTGGGAAAAAATATACTTTGCATCCAAAAACTAAGTGGTCTTAAGGACGTCAAAGCTCAGACCCTGCGTGGGATGAGAGAAACTGGCTGGCGAGGTCACTCATCAATCCTGGTCCCCACCAGGGTGCAAGCCAGTCACCTGACCCATCCAGGTACTTGTTTATCTGACTCCTTTTAATTGGGTTGGCATTTGGCTTGTCATCATCAAGTGTTTGGGACACTCTTAGGGAGAGAAAGTATTGAGAAATACAAATCATCACCTTAATAATTGATATGCTACTTCAGAATCTCTAAATCTCTTCCTTTGTATAATACTTCCAGGGAGAAAAATCCATTAATAAACCTTTTTAAAATTAATTTTAATGGATCTCTTAACTGCCTCTAACATTTGAGTATCTTTGAAGATGGTCACTGTAGGAGGCTGATTAAAAACACTTTGACTTAGTCAGACAGGAGATAGTATTATGTCTTGTGTGTCATCAATTAATTAAACTTTTCAACATCATCCAAGAATAGCCTCAATTATGACTTTATTATTACAGAGGCCACTCAAGTAGAACGAGATGCATGTGGGTCTATGGTACATTGCTGAACCATTCATTTGGGGGGCTAAAAATATATATAAAAATTCTAGTTTTATGACTTGAGGTACTTTTCAAACATTTTCATTAAATTCATCAGTACTTTGGGCTCTTAATGCAGCAATTCAAATAATCAAGTCAAACAGTTCTTAATTAATAAAGAAAGAACAATATCAAGGAAGCAAGGAAAATCCGCTCTTGCTCAGGGGCACAGAAAGAACTGTATTATACTTGAACTACTGATTTTGACAATGAATTTCTGATTGCTTAACAGTAGTAGTGAAGTTTTTTTTTTTTGACACAGAGTCTCACTATGTTCCCCTGGGTGCCGTGGTGTCACAGCTCACAGCAACCTCAAGCTCTTGGACTTGAACGATTCTCTTGCCTCAGCCTCCAAGTAGCTGGGACTCCAGATGCTAGCCACAACACCGGGCTATTTTTTGGTTGGAGTTGTCATTGTTGTTTGGCAGGCCTGGGCTGGATTTGAACCCATCAGCTCCTGTATATGTGGCTGGCACCCTAGCTGCTGAGCCATAGGCGCCGAGCCAAGTTTTTTTTTTTTTCTTTAAATGTTCAGTGTAATTGAAAATATAATGCAATGACCATCAGGTTGTTTAGGGTAGGTGAGCATCATAAAGTCAAGCAACACGGCATGTCACCAACCAGACTGAGAGTCACGAAGCTGGGCTGAGCACCAGCCCTTGAAGAGGTTTTGCAGAGCAAGACAGCTGCGCCCTCTGACATCTAAGATGCGGTACCCTGGGGCCAGGCACCTGTGAGGCCACTGAGGCCAGCAGAGGGCAAGGGAATGGTGGGAGCCACCCCTGCTGCCCAGCCCTTGTGTGGAGGGCCATCTCACCTTTCGGGTTAGCCTCCTCTTGATCTCTCTTTTCTCTTCTTGTTCTTCTTGTTCGTTCCGGGCTGAAAGACATAATTAAGATGCTTTTTGATTTCAGAAAACGGTTTTACACACAGGTGCATCCTGTGAACCTTGGCAAGTCCAGCACCTCAGTTTGAAAAAGGGAAGACAGAATTCCTGTCCCCTTCCCCGGACACCCTTCTGCATGTGGGAATTCTTTCTAAGCTCCCTGCAGTGTTTCAAGTTGCTGGTGAGCAGCCTGACCTTTTCATTTTTTCTTTTTTTTCCCTCTTAATAAATTTTTTATTAAATTATAACTGTGTACATTAATGCATCTATAGGGTACAATGTGCTGATTTTATATACAATTTGGAATGCTTACATCAAACTGGTTAATATAGCCTTCGCCTGACTTACTTAATTATTGTGTTAAGACATTTATACTCTACTCTTAATAGATTTGACATGTACCCCTGCAGTATGTACCATAGTGTCATGTGGTTTTGAGTCCCCAGGCAGAACTGCTGGGCTGAAAGGTGGCCATAAGGCAAGGAGGTGGGTTTTAAGAGAGAAAGGGGTCCAGGTTTTCTTGAATAAGATTTGAGGCTCACTCACTCCCCCTTGAGCCTCCCAGATACTGAAGGGGTCTCACTATGATATGACCCTCATGTCATGTGTGCCATGGGGTAGAACATAAGATTGGCCTCCACCTGCTGCTGCAAGAACCAAATAAGGCAGGGCCAATGCCAACCTTGACCCTGGACACGCTAAAGGGAATTACAAAACGCTCACCTTTCATAAGCCCTGAATCCATTAATTCTTTGAATCTTCCAAGAAGTCCAGAGAACATGTGTGAGGCCAAAGCGTGGGTTACAATTGTCTGCATTTTGTCCTTTAAGGAGTGTCTTAGGAGAGAAGACTTCAGAGCCTAAATGTTCTTGGCTTAGTATGTGGGTGATTTACTCATCAGATTGCTAAAGAGCCATAGGGAAGAGGGTCTGGGGAAGGGAACAGAGATTTGAAGGGCAGAGAATTTGGGCTTATCTCTCCCTTTAATCTAACTACATGACTCTGGGTAGATCATTTCCTTTCCAGGCCTTGGAAAGATTGTTCAATATCTATGGAAACCTAGATACCAGTATAGTATTGTTGGATGTGGGAAAAAACATAAAGTCAACTGGTGTCAAAGAAGGCCCGTGATTCCCACACGCCTGAATATCAAATGGCATTAATAAAAGGAAACTGCAAGCTGGGTTTTGGCATAGGGTGCATTTAGATTACCCAGGATGCTTATTCTTTCCTTTTGAAATCACAGTTGTTAAATTATATTTCGATAAGTCATTTGCTGTATTGATGTACACCTATAATTCAGTCATGGCCCCTGATTATCTCAGTGTGGGACAGGTCTTTAAAAGACAGAAACTCCTGTGCATAGCAATGGGGTGGGGACTTCCTGAAAAACTGTCTTATCCTCCCCTCTGTGCCAGCCCTGAGGGCAGCAACCACAGTCACAGCCACTAAGGCTTAAGGTGACAACACTTCCCCCGGCACCCACACTGGGAGGTCAGGTATGATCTGGCTGTCCTGACCAGCTGGGGGGATCTAGACCTTGTACGGAAGGTGATGCCCATATCCTGGGTGGGATGGAGTCACCTGCTCCTGCCCCGCAGTGCCCGACACCTCCACCATGACCTCCTTGGATTCAGAAATCTTAGTTCTTTCCCAGGGTTTTCTTTAAAAATGAAAATTTCTCTTAGATAAAAATCCATTGAACTAGTCAGCCATTAATAGTTCATAAGAATTAGTCTATCAGAGATGAGTTGGGAGGCAGAAAGCAAGACCCAGACAGCAACCTCTGTCAAAATGCAAATTTCTCTGGGATCAAACCTGTTACGCTAGTCAGCTATTAATATTTTAATATGAATTAATCTATTAGAGACCAAATTGGGAGGAAGACAGCAAGAACTGGAAGGAGGGAGATGTCACTCCATCAGTGACATTTGCAGGTGGGAGCAAGGAGGGCAGGAGAGACAGTGGGATGTCATATGCCTGGGAGGCAGCTAGAGGGCATTTGGTTAAAATCGGTAGAAGTATAGAATATTAGGGTCACGAGAAGCCTTAGAGACCTCCCAGTCTACCACTCTTGATTTATAAATGAAGATATGAAAACCCAGGGGAGTTAAGTGACCAGCCACACCCTACAGCTGCCCTTTCCTGCCGTCACGCTTTACTTGGGGGAGGTGCTTCTTCTCTTGATGGTGACTGGCCTTGGACTCTTGATGCTACAGGCCCCTTCTGAACCATGAAGGTAGGCATTCTGTGACACAGCTGGTAAGCAGGAAGATGGCACCTTCCTCTCCTGTGTGCATTTCTTAGGTTGTTCTGAGGGGCGGGCCATGAGCTACCACCTATGGAATCTATAACATTAGTTGGAAGCCATTTACAAACCCAGTGTTGTGAATTCTCAGGCAGAGGTTAGGTACCAAGACAACTCTATTAGGCAACAACCAAGAGAGGACAGGAAAGGCCCACGATGTCATCATTACAGCTGCCACCATCAGAGTGTGTTCATTATGTGCTCAGATGTGCCTAGGGCCTCACTGGCCGCTCGCAGGGTAGGGCTGGAAGTCAAACCCAGACTCTCAAAGCGCCACTGCTGAGCCATAACTCCCAGACCAAGTGGTTCCTCAAATAATTTAAAGCCCAGAAAGCAGGTTTTAGAACAAACCGCTTAAAGGTATTTTCTTATGTAACTAGCTAATTCTTGTTAGACAATCAATATGGATTAAATTTTTAAAAAAGGAAAATGAAAACAGTTCCAGAATGCAGGGAAAATTAAAACCTATGGGAATAACATGTTCATTTCTGAAAGGTTTTGAAACTGTGGAATGACCATCCTGTTTGACTACAGTCAAGCAGTCCTTTTTTTTTTTTTTTTGAGACAGAGCCTCCAGCTGTCTCCCTGGGTAGTGCGGTGGCATCAAAGCTCACAGCAACCTCCAACTCCTGGGCTCAAGCGAGTCTCTTGCCTCTGCCTCCCAAGTAGCTGGGACCACAGGTGCCTGCCACAATGCCCAACTATTTTTTGGTTGCAGCCGTCATTGTTGTTTGGCGGTCCAGGGCTGGATTCGAATCTGCCACCTTAGGCATATGTAGCTGACGCCCTAGTCACTTGAGCCACAGGCGCCAAGACAAGCAGTTCTTGAATTTGTAACTATTTGACCAGGACAAAAAGGAAGAGGGAATAGAATAAAGAGAACCATAGAAACAATCTTTTAAAGCCCCTTTTTGGTTTCCCTCTGGGCTTAAAAGGCAGTAAAATTCAAACACACTGGACCAACCCCTGATCTCCGGGAAGATCTGGGCCAACCAGGGGTAGGAGCGGAAGTCTTCAGGAAGCCAGAGGTGAGCTGGGGAATTTTAAACCTCTTTCCAGGAAGTTTGCCCCTGCTGAGATACCCACTATTTTCTGAAACATAAATAATCCCGCAGAGGTTTTTTAGCTTTTCTGAGTTTAGGCCTCAGATTCAAGCCCACAAGTATAGTATGATCCCGAGTGAACTGTGGGTGCAGAGATTCCTTGAGGGCCACAGGTGCACATTGGGTGAGGCAAAAGGGAAAGGAAGCATCCCTCTACCTGATTTCTGATTTTAGGACAAAAGGTTCATATTTCTGTTTTTCTTTCTCTCTAGCAGTGGAAAGTTTACCACATCTTAGCTATTAAACTGGAGCAGAAAGGGAGTCCTCAGACAGCCCAAATGCTTCCCTGACCTTGGAAATCCTCTGAAAAAGCTCTCATTTCATTGCATGAAGTATTAAGTTTGGAAACTGAAGGTTAAGCTTTTCTAATTTGGTTATATATATATAAATATAGAAAGCCCTAGAGAGCTGGGTGATGTGTGAGGTGTACTCAGAGACTGAGGAAGGCCAATCCTGAAAATACCTTCCTCTGAGAGTTGGGGAAGTGGTGGCTGGCATGGAGGAGGAACGAGGAAGGAGGATGTTGGGTAAGGCACGACAAGCAGCTGGGCACCCCCAAGGGGCTGTGGGCTCCAGGCTGCCCACTGCAGCAGGAATCTGGCACTCACCCTCCATATATTATGCATTGTCAACCAAGTCCCAAGACCCCAGTAAGCACAGTAGACAGGCTAAATCATTTTCGTTAGGGTTACGTGGAAATGTCCAGCCACCCAAACTGAGGTTTCACAGGATTGAATTAGGGGTGTGTGTTTGCAACATAGCATTTCTAGAAAGCTCTGCATAGTGAATATTTCTCTTTTAGGGAGAAAATTTAGAAGCATGTGTGTGGGTCATAAACTAAAAATATTCGTTGACTACCTTGAAACAAGTGTGGGGAGAATGGCAGCAATGACGTCAGCAAAGTGGCATGAGTTTTAAATTATTTCATACCTACCATCAGATTGAGGCATACTGGGGTCCCTGAAACTCTTGATTTTTTTTTTTTTTTTTAGTATTTTGTGTGATTCCCCTCCCCCCAGCATCAAATGGCTTCTCTATACATTTTTAAATATCTCTGTGGCCTGAACCGAACAAGAGGCTCATTTATTTTCCTGGTCCACGGCATCAGTGACAGCCAGTTTTTCCTGAATGAGAGCCTCAGGCAGGCGTGCCACTGGCCAGTGGTGGAAATTCCCAGAGATGGACACGAAGCACTTTCACTTGGAAATACTTTCTTAGACTTTCAATTTCACGTTCAAAGGGATGAGGGCTTTTATCAACAGCAGCCAGCCGCGATGCCAAGTCACGCTTTCCAGTCCCAGTTTGCAAACGGCTATTTCCCTTCTCTTAGCCATCCACTTCATATTTGCAGTTTCTAAGCCAATTATGGTTTAAAGGTGACCCTAACCTCAAAATCATTATCAGTTAAGTTCTCTGGCTCTAATTTTTCAGCTTCTCTCTGACTTCACAACACTAAAGGGAAGGTCCTGCCTGCAATCTGTGAGCGTCCAATGAACAAAGTAGAATACAACTTGCCTTCTCTCTGGGGAGGTCGTCTTGGCTGTTCTACCACACGAAGACAAAGCCTCACCTGCTACAGGGGTTCCCAGTGGTTTCCACACAGGCACGAGTAGAATGCATGCAGCCCACAATTAAATAATAACAAAAGCCGCCACAAAACGCCAGCGATTGCCATGGGTTTAGCTACTTACGTTTCAAAATGTTCCTCTGTTCCAGTTCCTCTGCAGTTGGCCTCTGGCTCAGCCGCCTACGGAAAAAATCCAGGAAAAGTTTTTGGACCATATCTTATCCTCCTTGGGTCATTAATCTCGTCAGCCCTTGGCGATACATGAGGCAGAGTCAGTGGCTGGAGTCCTTGTCCCATCCTGTGCTCTGAAGGACTGACTGTGGCCACCACCGCCTCCGCAGTTCCTCAATTTCAAGCCCAGGAAAGGCACGTGCGTCATGTCACGCTGGGCTCAATCCCTCCCCTCCACCCCATGCCTTCCTCCCTTCTCCAGCCCCTCCCCAGCCCCACTCTGCCGGTGCCCCCAGGCAAGGGGACTGCAACTTAGACGTCACTCTTCTCTCCACAGATGTCCCTTTCTTTCCTTGTGGCCTCCTAACTTGGGGACCGTGGCCTCTTGCCTTTCTTTCTCTCCCTCCCTCCAGGCGAAAGCTTGCTCCTTGCCACTTCTGTGCAGACCCAGTGAGAACATACAGAGGTCCGTGACCCCAGGGGGACTCCCGACGGCATGTCTGTCTGCAAAGAACAATAGCTGCTCTTCTTCTTGTCCCCACCCCTTACTACCAGAGCCTTAGGAGTCACGGAATGACAACTGGGCTGGCACTGAAATGAAGCTCTTGTTGCTGGGTGTGTCACTGAGCCAAACAAGCACAGGGAGGGTGTGAGCCTGAGGTGATGCAGAGTGGGGAGGCAGAATCAGACAACGGGTGGCACCTAAGGACAGGAGGCGCCAGAGGACAGGGTGGCATCCCAGAAGAAAAGGTCCACACGAAGTTCCAGGAGGAAAGCCCCCTAGCTGTGGAAGCTGTGGTCCCCTCCCACGATTCAGAAACTGATGTCTGTAGTTGGCAAGTTATTTACTTCATGGAATCTGAAGAGACACCCTAGAGGGAAAATAAAGTCCAGGATGTCTCGACATATAACTACAGGTGCCCCCCTGTATCTGTGGATTCCACATTTGTGGGTTCAACCAATTGTGGATGGAAAATATTTTTTAAAAACCCAGTATAACAAATTAAAATTAAAAAATGCAATCTAACCACTGTTTACATAGCATTTATGCTATATTAGGTGCTATCAGTCACCTGGAGATGATTTTAAAGTATTCGAGAGTAGATTACATGCAAATATGACCCCATTTTATATCAGGGACTTGAGCATCCTTGAATTTTGGTATCCCAGGGGTTGGTCCTGGAATCAATCTCCCAGGATACCCAGGGACTAGTTTTAAATCCAATGCTCGTTGTCATTTGCTCTTTATTGCTCTGGGCCAGAAAACAATTGCTTCTGTGATATTCCAATGTTACCCTCATGCATCCTGTATACGACAGGGAATGGGCTTCAGTGCCAGAAAAAGGACTTTTAGGCAGATACCTGCCTATAAAATCTGCAGCACCCTGAAAATGTCGGAAGTTGTATTTCAAGGTGTTTTTAAGTTTCTGCATTTATCATTCCTTTTCTCTCCCAAGCTTCCCTGCTGTATTAGGGAAACATATTTGGACTTTGTTGTCGGTGCCTATCACAGCGCACCCAAAAACCCTGGAATTCCCTGAGTGCCAGGAGTGTCTTTTTTACCCAGAATGAGTCCCTTTGGATCACAACTGAGTTTATGTCATCAGGTTACTTAGGACACACTGGTCACCAGAAAGACCCAGCAGGTAGAGGGCCAGAGCTTTTAGCTTGGCAGGTGGTGCCTGAGGGGCTAGAAGTGAAGTTCTGTGAAAACTCCTGAACCTCAAGAGTGGAGGAGCTTCCAGGTTGCTGGACAAAGGGCTGCTAGGGGGTGGGCACCCAACGGGCATTGATGCCCCTTCCCCACTCCATACCTTGCCCTGTCCATCTCTTCATCTGTCATATCCTTATAATAAACTGGTAAACGTGTTTCCCTGAGTTCTGTGAGCTGCTCTAGTAAGTTAATCAGACCCAAGGCGGCCATCATGGAAACTCCCATTTATAGCTGGTTGGTCAGAAGTACAGATGACAACCTACTGCTTAGGACTGGTATCTGAAGGGGGGCAGTTTCATGGGGCTGAGCTCTTAATCGATGAGATCTGACACCACCCAGGCAGAAAGTGTCAGAATCAAATTGAATTACGGGCAGGCACCCAGTTCATGTCCACTGGAGAGCTGCCCTGCCCGCCACATCTGGTCACAGAAGTGTGCTGTGTTGAGTGTGAGAGTAGAGAGAAAAAACCAGTTTTCTCCTTTACAATCCCACGAAGATATTCTTTATCTCTATTGACAAGCATCAGCCGGGCATTTGGAAAGTTGGGGCCTCAGAGCGTCTAAATTGGACTCCACAGTCTCTGAGTCCTGACAGTATTTTCACACTACAGGAGGAAAGTGGTGCTTGGGCAACTGAGCGAGCTGGTGTCACGGGTCTGGAATGTGGCTTACCCACTCCATTTACAATGATCTTCATAGCAGCTTTTTCTCACCTGTCAGGTTATTTGCCCTAAGAATATTTGTTTTCGTCTAAGGGATGCACAGCCTCCTTTATGGGATGGTTCTAATTCCCAGGCTTTAAATCGAGCTAGAGTTTGGGGGATGGGAGGTTGTGTTTTGGGAAAACCTGTAAATTCGAGTGTAGCTTACATCTCAGAGGCCAGGATGCTGTTTCAAACTGTTATGCCAAGTGTCTGTGGAACGCTCATCACTGGGCAGCCCACGGATTCTATCACCAGACACGTTGGTTGGCTCTGTGCTGGTCTTTTTTGGTTTTCTTAGGGGTCACGTTTGGAGGGGGTGAAACTATGAGTGGCTGAACTCTACCCAGGGAACATTCTCTTATTAACTTGGCTGCCTTAGATAGCCAAACCACACATGATTTCCAATGAGGCCCTCTGCGTTTCATTTCTTTCGAGAGGGTCTGAGAACATTAGTACTACCCATAGCTATAAAATGTAGCTAAGGCCACCAAAGGGGTTATAACTGTTTTGATTTTGAAAATGAGATTTCATAGGAAAATGATATTGTGGCATTGGAAAGACAAAGCACCAAATAGCACAGCTGGGTCAGACTTGGGCTCCAGTCCTGATCTATTCTGAATCCATTTGCCTCCATCCATGCCTTGGACTCTGCTAGGCCTATGTTGTTTTCTCTGCAAATGGTAAATGATAATTTCATAAGCTAATGCTGATTTAATGCCTATGATATTTAGTTCTAAGCACTGTATGTATGTTAATTCATTTAATTGGTATCTCAAGATCCTTAACTTAATCATAGCTGAAAAGTCCCTTTTGCCATGTGAGGTCACATATTCAAAGATTTGGGGATTAGGATGTGGACATCTTTCAGGGAGGTCAATATTTTGTCTGCCATATCCACAACGCTAGTCAGAAGTCGCAAACTGGTGCATGGTGCACTGGGTCTGACTGTCAGTTCTCCTTAGCATGCTAAGAAAGAAGTCACACTTTTTTTGAGCCTGAATGCCTTGAGACGGAGTATATGTGGTCCAGTCAATCCAGTCCCCAGCACTCACTCAGATAACACATGGGAACACACTCTCATCTGTCCTGTTCCCCTCTTTTCTGATCATTCCTACCCCTTTCCCCAGACCTCTCTCTTCTCAAGTCCCTGGAGTTTTATCTCATTCTTGTCAAAATGTGTTCTTAGAAATGGGTGCTACAGACTCAGCCACTCATTCATTCATTCGACAGATTACGTATTGAGTGCCAGCTCTGTGCTAGGTTCTGTGCTAGGCTCCCGGGGATAGCAATGAGCAAAAGCAGATCTAGTCCCTGCCCTTCTGGAACTGAGATTGGGAAGTAGAGGATGGTCATTAATCAACTATCCTAGAAATAAGTATAAAACGTAGCCATAGTTAAGAGCTTCCACAGGGAGGCACAAGCTTGGTGAACAATTAAGAGATGGGCGTGGCCCACAAAGAGTGCTAAGTGCCTCTGCCAGGTCAAATGCGGCCTCAAAAAGCGCCCACTGGGTTTAGTACTGTGGAGGTTATTACTGTCCTCACCCAGAGCTCCCTTAGTGGGCTGGGCGACAGAGGCCAACGTGGAGAGAACTAAGAACAGAGGTGAGGAAAATAGATTTAACAGAGCTGGCTTTGAAGAGGCTGAGAGAGCTGAAAGAGGCTCTGGTGGGTTTTATTTTTCAGTGGGGGAAGATGGAGCATGTTTAATGGAAAGAATCAAGATTAAGTGGTGGTGGTGGGGAGAAGCCAAATACATGAGGAGAGAAAGTCTCGACTGATGGTGCAGGAGTCCCGAGAAGGCAGCAGGACTTGGGATCCAAGGGACAGAGACTGCTGGCCTGATCTTCCCAGCTCTTTACTCTTTACTGGGACTGGAGGGAAGCAGGACAGAGAGGGTTACATGTAGATTTGTAAAGTTCGGTATTGGAATTATATGGGAATTCCCATCTGATGGCTTTTGCTTACTCTTTCAAGTTGGACTATATGGAAGATGACTTCTATTAGTTTAAAATATTACCTTTCCTTGGGGGATTTGTCTTTGAACAGAGACGAATTCATAAACTAAAGAGATAAAGCTCTAGCTTCCGAAATCTAGCCATCAGAATCTTAGGGGTACACACAGAGCATCCTGCCATCTTTACCAAGCAGAGCATTTTGGTTCCTTTTATGAGCTACTCTGTGCACCCATTAAATGTTGATTAATAGGAAGCTGAAAGCAGAGCATAATGAGTTGGTTAAGTGAATGAATAATCCAAGAATCAAAGTTAAGATGCCGCCTAAATGTATTATGTCTCCTTTGCCCTCATCTCGCTAGCAGAGCTTACTAATTGTGCCTGATTAAGACTAACATTAACTTTTTAAAAATTCCTGACTATCTATGATATCTAGATGTGACCATTTAGCTAGGTGGCAAGGTCAACATTTTTGGAGTTCAACTTTTATATAAAGTGAATTATCCCCAATTAAATGTTTAATGTACTTTCAAGTCATTTTAAATAGCTTTTCTATTATATATGTGACCCTGGTTTATGAAATCTCTCTGAGTAGCAAATCGTCTCCATGCCTCAAATGATTTCTTCTTTGCCATAGA